TCCCAACCTGTTCAATTTCTAGCTGCTGCAGACAATGCTAATAATGGCAATTATTGCCTCTATAAACATCCCGAGGCAGCCGTCTTCTCCCGCAGTGTGTGTTTAAAGAATATATATAAAAAAGTTCTCTGGCTCATTTGCATAGCTTCATCTTTACCTTTTCCCATTCAGCCCTTGCAAAAAGCATATCTATTCAAAGCTCTTGCAAAAAGCATATCTATTCAAAGGGCATTTAGTCCATTTCTTTCTTGGCCGGTAAACCTATTCATCAATTGTTCTGCCTTGTAGATCGCATTCTAATGCTAATCTAGCGTGTTAAATATCTTTTTGTTCCCCTTTCACCGTTTTGTCATTCAGTTTATCCAGTTTTGGTCACCCATTTTATTTATTTATGCGCCTGCTCCTATTCAGGGGCTCATGTATTTTTTATTATGTTGTTTCACTGTCACGCAGTGTCAACTTAGTCTATTCAATAGGGGCTACTTGAAGGCCGGAGGGACAAAGCGTGTACACATTGCACTGCTATTCATTCCGGCCAGCTGGATCGGCTGAAAAAAAAAAACCTTGTGAAAAGAAACGCCTCACAATGGACACAGAAGAAGTGCACAATGCTAACAGTTTTCCAAATACCACTGATTGGTTTCTTCACAATGGGGAGAAAGCCGCCGCTTTTTCTTAGCTCCACTTCAACAAACAACACGCTCACAAAACCTCCCAACCCTGCGTTTTGTTCCCGGACAAAACCTCCTCGACTGTCTAAACGCTCCCACTGAAGGACAAAAAAAAAAAAAAAAAAAAGAAAGAAAAAAAGCTCTTTTCACGATCCCGCTCCCCCCTCCCCATTCCTCTCTTTTTTTCCCCCTGCAAGAGAGGAGGAAAAAAAAAAAAGAAATGGGGGGGGGGGAGAGGGATTGTCAGTGAATTAATAATATCAGGCTTTTAAAAGAAGAGGGCTGACCTTTGAGATGCACTGGGCTGAGGGAGAGAGACCCGGGAGAGAGATTAATCAAGTTGGGATGCCGCGCTCCCGGCCGGGGCTGGGCTTGCGGGCGCGGGAAAGTCACGGACGCTCGGGCGGGCGCGGTGCGGGAACTTCGGCCGCCGCGGCGGCGGCGGCGGCCGGGAGCGCCGAGCTGCGCTCTGATTGGCTGGCGCGCCGCTCCCCTTCGGCTCAGGCAGGACCGGGAGAATCTTCTCTGCATCTTCGCCGTGCCGCGGCCCCCAGCTGCGGGTGGGGGGAAATCCACGCCGAATTTCATCTAGTTCCCCCCCCCCCTTTTTTTTGAGGGGTGGCGGGAAGATGTAAAGGGTGGGGAGCAGGAAACGAACAAATGAAATGACCCTTAGCGGCTATCTGCCCCGCTTCTCGGAGGGTCACCCGTTTGCAACCGTGGCCTCTAGGGCTGCCGCCCGCGCCTCGGACCGAACGAGCCCACCTGTTTGCGCCCAGCCCTAAAGCCAAGCGGAGGGCCCGTCGAGTGGGGAGACTGGCTTTGAAACCTGCAGGCAACCGGGACGACTTGGCTTTTTTAAAACTTTGAAAGAGACTAGAATGGGAGAGTACTTAAAAAAATAATAAAGTGATGGGAAGAGGGGGAAAGAAGGGAAGAGAAAGGGAAGTAAAATGAGAGGGATAGAGAGAAATAGGGGAGAGTTGGCTAGAGATGCAGAGCTACCCTCAGAATTGTATTTGTGGGTAACATTTAGACTCTCGCTCTCCCCCTCTCTTTCTCCTTCTCCCTCCCCCCCCTCCTCACACACACACACACACACACACACCAGGCTCTTGCACGGCGCCCGCTGATCTTAGAGTCGCACCTCCCCCCCTCCCGCGCCGCCCCATCTGATTGATTCTGCCCGCTCCGACTAGGCAAGAAGGTTTTCTCCAGGCGCAGAAATCGCCAACCTGTTAGCAAGACCGCTGGAGTCAGAGAAGTGATAAACGAGTAACCCTGCGAGCTAGTGGGCTCCCCCCAACAGCCGCACAATCTGTTGGCGAAGTGACCCTGGGTGCCCCCCATCCCCACCCCCACCCCTACCCCGCCTCATCCTCCCCCCTCCCCTTACCCGGTTTCCCAGCCCTCATTCCCTTTCACCCACTCTCGGAATCAGCAAACCCTGATCTGTGGGGAAGGGGAAGAACGCGGGGGAGGGGCGCGAGAAAGCGTCAGGCCGGCGGGGCCCGAGTTAGAGGCGCAGGGAGGTAACTAAGATTTAGGGCTGGGGTGATTTCCAGAGAGCCGCAGGAAGTTCCGTGTTGAGAAGTGATGGGCTGCAACAAAAGGGAAAGACGAAGGCTTGAAAGGATTTAATTAACCGTGTCGGGGATAATTACCCCTGGACAGTCCAAATTAGTTTTGCATAATCGCTCAGAACCATATGAATTAACTTATAATATTGCAAAGAGCTCGGGGAATAACAGGAGAGGGATCGTTTTAATTAGTGGATCAGGGTCAAACCAGCAGAGCCTATTTCTCACATTTCCAAAACTTTTTCATGGTTTTTAAAATATTATTCCGTGGGGGGAAAAAACAATGGCTTCTAGAGTTGGGTCCCTTCTAACAGTCCGAGACATGACTTGTAAGTGGAAAGACTCTTAGCACTAGTTGAGAATTCTTTCTTAAAAATTTCTCCTTCCTGGGGGATTATAAAGATCCCCTAGTGCTGATTTTTTTGTGTGTGTGATTGATCCCCCCCCACCATACCCTCTAATTTCTGAAATTTTAATTCTTCATTTCAAAAGCACGTCTAACCCTGGAAATGTAGCCCTCACTCCATTCGATTTCATTCTTCTTCTATTTTAATACTATTAACATGACAGAATAAAGCCTGAGAGGTCAAAAGTTGGACATTGTCTTGAGCAGTGATTATTCTGCCCTCCCACATACCCTAAGATGTAAATAAGGAATATGCCAAAGATACGTTAACAAATTACACTGATTTAAGTGGTTGGGCTCTCCTACTAACAAGATAAAGTGGTCAGACAACTTTGCCCTCTTAAAATGTTAACTGGGAGCTGGTGAAATGCTTTGAAGGGGTTGGATGTTTTCAATGGGCACTGTTCAACTGGTTCATGAATGCCTCCCCCCACCCCCCAAGATAATACAACCACTTTTTTTTTATCTTCTTTCCTATTCACGATTAAAAATGTGATAAATCAGGTTTTTGGCTCTGAATAACAATGGCTTGATTTAGATTTCCTAGTAAATCTATTCAAAACTGAAACAAAGGCCGCCTTTGGAGTATCCCTTACACTTCACCTGGACCAGGCACGTAAGGGCAATTCAGATAAAAATCTTGTTAGGAACTCAACAAGAAATAGAGGATTTTCTCTTTTCCCTGGTTCAGGCTTTATTTAAACTCTTTGTTCAAAAAAAATGAACAGAGTGATAGTCGGATTCTAATTTACAGATATAGTTTAGACGTCTAATATTAAATTAGAGGATCACACAAGAAAACCATTTACACAGAAAGGTTAAAACCAATACTTAAAACTTTTTAAAAACTTTATATTACATAAAGTCAAAGTGAAACTAAATACATGTTAGCCAACTTCATTCACAAACATTAGTCAAAATATATATATACATTTAAAAAGAAACCAAATATAATCAAAGAAGGTTCTGGTCTCTAAAATGTGTTTTATCATCATTTGCAAATGAATTGCAAGTGATCTAAAAAATAAGCTAATTGGGGTGGGAACTCCAAAACACATTTAAACGGTTCAAGTTGGTGGAGAAATGCTAGCTGAAAATGAGAGACATCTGTCAAAACAATTCCGTGGGTCTATTTTCCAGTTTTGCTAAATAAATATATAATTAGCACTCAGACAAAAAAAGTCTGATTTAATCTTAGATAAAATTGCGATCCTAAACTAGTCCCGCAATTTTTAAGAACTTTGACATGTGCTCAAAATGCTTTCGAGAGTCTAAAACCGACTCAAATTTAGGACAGCGCAAATAACACATTTCCAAAGACTCAAATGTTTTCACGGACATGTACACATTTACAGTCTTAAGGTGAACTCAGTCATAAGGGGAAAAACAAGAGCGGCACCTTCTCCCTTCTATGTAAACTGCGTCAAAGATCCAAGCGAGTGGATTCAAGGAGACTTCTAATTGGGGGCTGGGGATGGAGGAGTTGTTCTGTTCTGTTTTTTAAGGGAGAAAACCCAACTGACAACATTCTATCTCGCTCCCATTTCTTGTTTGTGTTCTTTGCTCCAGAGAAAGAGCGCTTGCTCTGATTTGCATATGGCATGAAAAACAAAAGAAAGCGCAGACATCATCCTATACAAAAGGCCAGATTCGAGGCGGTCACCGGTCAAGAATGGATCTGGTCTGGGAGGTTCTGCATGGGAGAACGAAGGTCCGCAAGTTCAGACAGTACAAGCTGAGAGGGCGAAGCTGCTTGCAACCGTCGCGCTCGGAGAAACGCACGACCCAGATCAACTTTTCCCTTGTGCCAGCCGTGTAAAAACGAACGTTTGAACAGAGTATGCCACGCGGCCCTGGGTTGGGGGGGGGAAAGAAAAAATAAAAACAACCACCAAAATAAAGGCATCAAGGAGAGATTAAAAAAAAAACGCAAAACAAAACAGCGCCGGCCAAGAAAATCCCCCACAAAAACAAAAGTTGCACCAAACAAAACTGAAAAAAAATAAAAATAAAAAACCACCCCCCCAAAAAAACCCAACAACGGGTCCCAAAATGACGGCTCCACCTCGGTGGGCCCAAACGTAACAGGTTCCTCAAAGTGCAAAGCCCACGCCCACGGCGGCGGACTGCAAAGGCGCGGCTGGAAGTTTGGCGGCGAAGTGCGGGGCTGGGGGAGCCCGCGGGAGTCCCCCACGCGCCCCCGGACAGGTGCTCCCGGCCGCTCGCGCCCCGAGCGTGGGCCCCTCTCGCCTCGGCCTGGCACCTATACAACGCTCTGTACATGCACCCTCCCCGGGGTGCCCCCGCCTCCCGGTCCGTGGCGGCGGGAGGGCGCCCGGGGAGGCCGCGACGCTCGTCCCTATACACATCTGTCCACGCGCGCACCCCGGTCCCGAGCCGGGCGGCCCCGCGGGGTCATAGTGCGGCGGCGTAGGCCGCGGGGTAGGGGTCCAGCTGCGGCTTGCCCATGCCCGGCAGCAGGATGTAGGCGAGCGGCGGCTGCAGCCCGGGGCTGGGCCAGGCGCTGCAGTTGCACGGGATCATGTAGCCCGGGTTGCCCGGGCTGGGGTGCGAGTGCGTGTGCCCCCCGGCGGCCGCCGCCGCCGCTGCAGCCGCCGCCGCCGCGCCGTGGAAGGCGCCCGCGCCCGCGGCGCCCGGGTAGCCCAGCGACGACGCGTACGGGAGGCCGGACGACGACGACGAGATCTCTGCCATCTTGGAGCCCAGGTCGAGCAGCGAGTAGGGGCTGCCGGCCGCGGCGGCCGCGGCGGCGGCGGCGGCGGCGGCCGCCGACTGCGGGAAGAAGACGCGCGCGGCGGCGGCGGCGGCGGCGGCGGCCGCCTTCTCCGGGTTGGCGAGCAGCGACTCGGGCACCAGGCCGCCGGCCGCGCCCGCGTGCAGCCCCGCGCCCGCCTTGAGCGCCGGGTGCTCGGCGTCCGCCACGCCGCCCAGGCCGTAGGGCACCGGGAAGGCGAACTTGTCCTTCTTGAGCAGCGTCTTGGGCTTGCGCCGCGGCCGGTACTTGTAGTCGGGGTGCTCCTTCATGTGCATGGCGCGCAGCCGCTTGGCCTCGTCGATGAACGGCCGCTTCTCCGACTCGGTGAGCAGCTTCCACTCGGCGCCCAGGCGCTTGCTGATCTCCGAGTTGTGCATCTTGGGGTTCTCCTGGGCCATCTTGCGCCGCTGCGCCCGCGACCACACCATGAAAGCGTTCATGGGCCGCTTGACGTGATCCACCGGCTTGGACATGCTCTCGCCGGGCCGCGGCTGCAGCCCGCCGCCCGGGCCCTCGCCCTCGGCCCGGAGGAAATCAATGTTGGCTGTCCGCGGGGACCGCGCGCGCCCGGGCGTCGCTCCCGCCTCCCGGGAGCAGGGGGCTGGCCCACCAGCCCAGGGTCACGCCGCGCCCCCAGCGGCCCGGGGTCTCTCCCGCCGCAGTCTCGGGATGGAAAACAAAAAACCACGCAGAGATTCCTCTCCGGAGGTGGGAGGGAAGGGAGACGATCGCTTCTCGGAGGTGACTCCCAACACCGCTTGGGATGGGGTGGGGTGGGGGGTGGAGTTCTTGCTCCCGGAGGGTCTTTGCGCGCAGACTGTCCCGCAGGTCGCCGCTGGCCGCGCCGAGCTCGCCCCCACGCCTGGCGCTCGGGTCTCTCTCTCTCTGTGTCTCTCAAGCGCGGGGCAGCCCGCAAAGTTGCGGCGCGGAGACGCCCCCAAGTTGAGTGGCGGAGCCGGCCGCCGCGTGCTGCCAAGTGCCAAAGGGGACTCTCGGCGGCTGGAGTGTTTGGGTGCTCCGCGGTGACTTTCTCATTTGACAGTAGCAGATGCGGGGGGGGGGGGAGGAGGAGGAGGAGGAGGAGGAGGAGGAGGAGGAGGAGGAGGAGGAGGAGGAGGAGGAGGAGGAGTGGGAGTGGGGGGAGGCGGGGGAGGGTCCGGGCGCGCCGCGAGCACTCAGGGCGCAGCACAGGCTACAGTCACAAATATCGCAGCACCCGCCGATCTTCCAGGCGCGGGGTAGAGCGCGAGGCTGGAGACCCCCGCACAACGGGCTGCGGGTGATTTTTTTTTTGGCCGGGAGGTGGGGGTTCGGTCGGCTCCCCCAGCACCTGCGTCGTCGGTCTTCCTCCTCGGGCGAAGAGAGCGCTTGGCTGGGGCTTGAGCAAGCCCGGGGGGCGCGGGCCTCAGAGGCAGTCCTGCCGGCTGGCCGAGGCGCCGCGTCTCGCCGTGGCCCGCGCCATGCGGGCCGCCCTGGCTCCGAGCCCCTCCGAGGCGCGCCGGCCCGCCGGGGGCTCCCGGAGCGCCGATTGCAGGCCCGGCCCGAGCCGCGTCCGCGTCCGCCGCGTCCCGCGCGCGCTCCTGGCGGCCGCCGCCCGCCGCCGGCAACTTAACTTCGCGCAAGTTTGCTGCGCCGGCTCCGCCGCCCCCTTCGCCGGGCGCGCTGGCCTGGGAGCGGGCGGAGGCCGGGACCCGCCGCGGGGCCGGAGCCGGAGAGGGTCGGGGGGTGCGGGGGTGGGGGGTGGGAAAGCTAAGGGTCACGCGCCATCACCTCTCTTCGCAGGTCCGCGCCGGGCCGCTGTCCCCCAAAAAGTCCCGCGGCGCCCGGGGCCCCTCCTCGGGCCGGGCCGGGCCTGCGCGGCCGCCGGGGCGCCCAGTGGTCGGCTCAGGTGAGCGCGGCTACCTGCGTGCGCGCGCGCCCGGCGCCGGGGCTGGCTGTGCATGTCCGGCCGCCGCCGAGGGTGTGTATATCTGGGGGCCCGCCGAGGAGGTGGAGCCCCGGGCTCGGCGCGGGAGGAGGGACCGGCGCAGCCTCCTCCCGCTCCCACACCCCCGGGACCTCAGATTCAACAGGATCGCCCGTCCCCCCTCCCCACCCCCACCTCCTCCTCCTCCTCCTCTTCCTCCTCCCCCGCTCCTCCACCTCCTCCTCCTCCTCCTCCTTTTCCTCCTCCTCCTCCTCCTCTTCCTCCTCCTCCCCCCTCCTCCTCCTTCTCCTCCTCCCACCTCTTCTCGCCGGCAAGCAGGTCGAGGAGAGCGGAGAGACTGCGTGCCGCACGGCCGTGGGCCGACCCCGGTGGCTTCGCCACCTTCCCCGGCCGGCGGCGACTCGGGGATCCCGGGCCCGGAGGAAGAAGGCGCGGAGTCGGCGGAGAACTCGGGAGCGCCGGAGGAAGAGGGTGAAGCCCGGCCAAGGCGGGTGGGGGTGGGGAGCGCGCCCCGGAGGAGGCTTTAAGACTTTTCTCTCCCCCCGCCCCCCACCCGTCCCCCAGCAGAACTTGAGTTATCTTTTTTTTTTTCCTCCTTGGGAGCTGCAGAGGGTCCTCGCAGCAGAGGCTTCCCGCGTTTTCGGGCGGCGTCGATGCACCCCGTCGGAGGTGGTGGAGCGAAAAACACTCCAGGAGCGACCGAGTTCTATGGGCTTGGTACCCTTTGGGAAAGGAGATAGCCCAGCACCCTTGGCTGACGCCGGAGCTCCGGGAAATTTGGGAGTGGGGTGGGGTGGTGGGTTTGGATTCTCTTTGGGTTATCAGAGCCTACTTTTTTTTTTTTTAATTTTCTGCCGAGTTCTTGAAGGGACGATGGGCTTAGAGCCTTTGACTTCTACGCTCAGGACGGACGCGCATGTTTTAAAGTCGGTGAGAACTAACCACACATTTCTCTACAGGCCGAAAAGAATTAAACAGCCCTGTCTCTCGGCACTGGGATATTTTTATGCGGCGCAGCCAAATTTCCTTTAGAAAGAGCAATTTTTTCCCCCTTTGTAATTGGTGTGATGGAAAATTCTCACGTCGAGATTTTGTTTGCATTTCCCTCTCTCTCACTCTTGATAGGCTGCAACACACCAAGCTGTGGTTGCAGGTTTGCATAGTAAGTTGGCCTGCCGGGCAGGGAGAATGAGCCTTCTTACTGGGGCAGTTTGCAGTTGGACAAGCCTCGTGGTTTGTGCCAGCAGGAAGTTCTGTACGGATTGAGAACTCTGTCTTCACTGCGACTTACACTCACCTCCGCTTCTGCGGACACACACACACACACACACACACACACACACACACACAGCATCAGTTGCAATGATCACCTTCAATAAAAACGGTTTCAGGCCCTCGGATGTGTTTAAACATTAGGTATGTTTTATCACTCATTTTCATCTCAGACTTGCTCTAATGTTAGTTGTTCTGACGACAGAGACAGAAACTGTGTTGGAACTGTTGGAGTGTGTATTTTATTTTTGAAGTTGTCAAGTATACCGATGTTTGCTTTGTACCAGCTGTGATCTTGAATCACTAAAATAATTGGGCTTATTTCTCTAAAGCCATTTTCTTTTATATTATGTTTGTTTTATGTATATGTGTATATATATATATATAAGTGTCTCTTAAAAGTACACTGTCATTTATAGACTCTGGATTAGGCAGCACTAAAATACTGGCAGGTGTAATTACACAGATTAGAATATTAAATATACTGTTTTGTGATGACAAACTACAAAATTATCATCTCCGAGCTTTTACCTTACTCCTGTAATAAGACTGAGAAAAGAATTATTGTATGCTTTCATATAAATAATAAATGTGTGGGGATAAAAGAGGTGAAAAACCGTGATTTATAAACACTGTGTGTAAAGATGAGACTAACCAAAAAATATTGAGGAGATATTTGATATTGGTGAGAGAAAATACTGTTTTCTTCAGTTAAGTTATAGAATAGTTTGCAGTATATGATTGTGCTAGAAAGACTTGTTTGGATGGCTGATTAAAATGTATATTTTCTGTGTGCGATATCTCATTACAAATAAAATGCATTGGCTACCTGGGATGGTTTTACAAATTGTACCATATCGCTTATTTTAGGGATATAGAACTACCCAATCTGGAAGTTCCTAAAGTCAAAGAATGTTGTACTGTAGAAAACAAAAGTGCTTCTCAAATCTTTTTTTCCACAAGGTGGGTGGGGTGCTGTTGGTATGTTTGTTTATTTATCAAATAAAATGTCACACCTTTGAACATTGGAGAGACTTGCTTTTCAATTTTCAGTTTCGGGGATCACCGTTCTTGGCCTCTCCAGCCTAGAGAAGAGGCCTCTGGCCAAGGCTGGCTAGCACAGGTACCAGCAGCCTGGCGCTGCAGGCTGGTAACCGGCCTGTCCTCCTCGGGTTGCACCTGAAGAAGCTTTTTGTCCCCCAAGTCAGGTCCTCTTCCAATCCCCTTTTCTTGATGTTCAGGTCTCAGTTGCTTGTAAGTTCCTCTGCTGTTGGATTTGAATGGCTCCAGGGCTGTGTTTTTGCACTTGGTGATTTTGCCCTGAAGATGGAAGAGATGAAGCTAGGGTTGCTGCATGATGAGAGGGGAGAAAGGTGGGGGCTTCGCTGCCCGGATCCCAGCCTGCAGGCCTGGTTCTTCCTACTCCATAGCAGTCTGTGGGGAACTCTGTCGGCCCTGCGGCCACAGAGACCCCAAGATCATGGCTACATCTACTCAGAAATGAGACACAGATGACCTGTCAGGAAAAGTTTGGCTCAAAAGGGGGTGGAGCGGGGCAAAGAAAAAAAAAGTAATTTGTTTCTCTGTCGGTTCAGCCTCCTCCCTGCCCTGACTTTCTCCTTGGTTAACGTGCTTTTGGTTGTTTGGGTTGCTTTTCCGCCCTCTTCTAAAACTTTCACTAGGAGGCAGCAATGAGGTGGTTGGAACCAAGGTTCTTGGGCAAGTCCAGCCTGACTTCTGCCATGACAGAGTGGAGATGCCCGGGTCCCCAGGGCGGGGCCCTGAATGAGAGTGGGGCAAATCATTTCCCACTCTTCTTTCCGTGTCAGTCTCTCACGGACTTATGTCCGGGGAACTCACTGTCCCTAGACACTGAGATCCCTGGAACAGTTCAATATCTCCTTGAACCAGGAAATGAGAAGCCACAGCAAAGACACAGAACCCAGTGAGTGCCCTCAAACGGCAGAGAGCAAGCGGGGATCCGTCCCTGGATGCGACTGACCGCTCCTCCTGCCCCCCACCCCATGACCACAACTGACCACTCTTCCTACCCCACCAACCCATGTGCGCCAGCAATTAGCCCCCCTCTGCAGCCCGATCAGAGGGACCAGTCTCAAACGTAGACATCAGAATGGCGCTGTGTCCAGCTGGGCACCTGCCAGTGGGCATTTTATTTATTTATTATTTATTTATTTATTTTGCTTTTGGGGTTACACCCGGCAATGCACAGGAGTTACTCCTGGTTCATGCACTCAGGAATCACTCCTGGCAGCTGGGAATCGAACCTGGGTTGGCCATGTGCAAGGCAAATGCCCTACCCACTGTGCTATTGCTCCAGCCCACCCCCCT